GAAGCAAGACAGGTCATGGATGTGGGCAAAACCCCTGAAGAAGCTGGAGTGCAGGGGATGCCAAGCCCAGGAGGAAGGATGCCCTTTGCTTAACAACAGCTCAGAAGGAGAGAAGGGCAGGAGCAAAGATAAAGGCTTTATGGCAAGTGGCAGAATCCTCATTTGTCCTTTTCTTTTGAAATGGCCTCTCTGAAATATGAGATAACATCGTCTTCTTAAACTAGGAGATAGAGGATTTAAGATGAAAGTTGGAAAAAGGAGTAGTAGGGTGTGTGTGTGTGTGTGTATTCATTCTGTCTGTAGAAGAGTTCAGCAGTCTCGTTGGAATAGATTCAAAAACAGTGATTTGTTGGGTTGACACAAGGTATTATGGGTTGATTCCCTCCTCCAGATTCATATGTTGAAGTCCTCCTAATCCCTGGATCTCAGAACAAGGCTTCACTTGGAAATGTGGTCTTGTAGATGTATATTAAAATCAGTTTGTTAGGGTGAATCCTAATCCAGTTACTTGTGTCTTTATTTTTTTTAAAAAAGGGAAATTTAGACACTGAGGCATACACACTGGCTGAACATCATGTGAAAATGAAAGCAGATTATCAGGGTGATACTTCTTCAAGCCAGGAAACACCAAAGCTTGCTAGCAAACCACCAGATGCTGGGAGCGGAACACGGAGTGGATTCTCTTTCACAGCTCTCAGAAGGAACCAACTCTTCTGACACCTTCATGTCTCACTTCTAGCCTAATAAGCTACAAGACAATAGCAATTTCTGTTGTTTAAATTATCCAGTTTGTGATACTTTATTATAGCAGCTCTAGAAAACTAATACACAAGAGATAAAGATTTTTATTTTTGTTTTTCCCTTCTTTCTCTTTCAAGTGGTTGTGAAGGATTTAAGGCAATGATCTTGAGAACACAGTCTAGAAATAGTAAAGTGCCAGTCTAAGGAATCCAAGGTGAGTAGTGAAAGGAGATAAAACAAAAGATGATAAAAAGGAAGGACAGAGATATTTGGTTTTGAAATTTTCTTTTAACTTTCACAGTTGTTACTGTGTGTAGTTCATAGGATCTCAGTTTCTTGGAAAGGCTCAACCCTAGTCAAGATTTTCCTGTAAAGGTTAATCTTAGCCTCTGGGTCCTTGCTAAAGTGATCATGTGTTACACCTCAGATTAGAAGTGCAATTTAGATCAGAGCCAAGGTATTTGCAAGTCATCCTCTCTTGTTAGGCTTTAGTTTACATTTACATATGATAACCACAGAGCCTATATATTCTCAGAGAGACTTTCAGGTTATCTGAGCTGTGCCCGTCTTCAAAGGACTACATTGCTAGTATGGATTTAATGGGCTATTCGTCCTGTGATTCAGCATTTCTAGATTCCAGTACTCAGGGAATTTGCTCATTAGCTTCGAGAGACAGCTTTTTAATGGAATAAAATAAGGGGGAAAGTGGGCTGTAGTTTCAAAAGTTACTGTGATTAAAATCATATGGACAGCTGCTGTTCAGGATGGTGTCACCCAGTGTGAATGAAGAAATGCTCACTGTCAGAAAGCCATTGGGCTGTAAATTCTGTTTACTGTACAACTGGCTCCTTTCTGCTACTTTAAGGTTTTCACAGCAGTGCCTGAATAGACAGCACTGGGCAAAAACAAGTAAAAAAGAAATCTTAAACGAATAACCTTTTTCTTCATTGAAGAAATTTGAAAAATACATGAAAGTAAGTATCTTTTTAAAAAGCGTGTAATCTCTTGAGTTTTAACTTTTATAGTATCTATCCATCTGGTCTCTTCCCCCCTGTGCATACATATATATGCATACATTTACTAAATTGGGATCATACTGTAAATACAGTTTTGAAACTTGCTTTAGTTAATATATTCTGGCCAAATTCTCACACACAGAGAGATTATTTCAGTGGTCTAGTATGTTGCATTGTGTGGGTTATCATAATTTATTTAATTGATCGCCTCTCTTTGGAAATATAGACTGATTTTGATTTTTTGCTACTAAAGATGACTCAACATACATTTTTCAATATGTAATTTTTTAAAAAGCTTGAGGCTTTTGGATTTGCATTAGAATCTGTGAAAGGTCAGCCAGAGAAAGTGGCTGAGTGGGCTGTGGCACAAAAGTCCCGCCAGCTGCCTTCTTTGGGGTCTAAATGCAAGGCCCTTGGGAGAAGGGCACCATATGGGGAGAGATTTGATACAAACAAAAAAGCATTCAAAGATGGACTTAAACACACAGTGCAATGATACGTAACATAAAGCGGCCTCAGGCCCTAGCTACACTGTCTCCTATCCGAGGAGCTGAGGCTGTGACTCACAGAAGATAGCGGTGCACCAGGGTAGTTCTGTCCCCTTTCCCTGTCCTCTCAGATTCCTCAAGACAGACGATTCATAAACCGTTCCTGGTGACAGTTGTGCAAAATGAAAAGCTCTGTGCATGTGTGGAGAATAGATTATCCTGACTGCCGTGAAGCATTTGACAAATTGGGAGTTTTGTCATACATCGAAGAACTATGGAGGGCGAATAAGGAACGATGTGCATCATATAAATACAACACACCTGATGGCTGCCCAGCAGTATGTCTTCCTGTAGGGTGGGAAAGGGGAGGAACAAGGGGAGACAGTGGCAGAGGGAGGTCACTGACCTCAAGGAGCTGTGCTAACCAGGCCCCAGCTCAGTGTGTATCTCAGAAGGTGGCTGTTTTTTGGTTTTTTTTTTAGGGTTATGCTCAATGTAATTTTTCTAATTTCTTGAAATAAGTTATTTCCTTTGAATTCTGATCTGGGGGACCCTGAAGCCACTGCTGGGCTGAGTCAGAGTCTCATGCACTGTGGCAGGTGGAAGAAGTGGCTGCTCAGCTTCCTGCAGCCTAGTGAGGCTGGGTCTGGGCTGGACTTCGTACGGGCACTGATGGAGCGTGGAGGCAGACCACACGTTGGCCTATTTCCCAGAAGCCTGGGCTCCCATCCACCCTCAGCAAAAGATATCTGCACAGCCCGAGGGAACAGTTCACTCTCTCTCAGAGAGGAAAGGTGAGTTTGCATAGAATGTGCAGTTGCTGCCCTTCCTGACTACCCTCAGTGAGAATCCTGCAGACAAAGCTGAGAGGGTGATAGAACTGGCCTGAGACTGGGCTGACTTTGGGGTACCTGGAGTATTTGACAGCAAGTCTCCATGCCCTTTAACCAGCAGGGCTCACTCTGACAGGGAAGTGAATCCAGCTCTTTCAGCCTCAGTTTTGTGCTCTATGAATTGGGATGGTGGTACTTGCCCTTGTGGCAGTGGTGTGAAGATTAAGAGGATATAAGAAAAGTTTCTGCACACTCACTAGGATGGCCAGGATCAAAAAGACAATAATAACAAGTGTTGATGAGGACGTGGAAACTTTAACTCTCACCCTTGGCAGGAGTGTATTCCAAATGATGCAGCCACTTTGGAAAACAGTTCTTGAATTCCTTAAGAAGTTAAATGTAGAGTTGTCATAAAACCCAGAGACTCCACCTTAAGTGCAAATCCAAGAGAAATGAAGACATATATCTACATAAAGACACATGTGAGTATTGATAGCAGCATTTATTCATAGGAGGCCAAACATGGAAATAACTCACATGGTCATCATCTGCTGAATAGATAAATAGAATGTAGTTAATTCATAGTGAGTGTAGTAATTTTTAAAAAATAAGAAATGAAATGCTGATACATCTCCAATACAGATGAACCCTGAAAACAGCATGCTAAGTACAAACAAGTCAGTCACAAAAACCCCCATGTATATCATTTAATTCCATTTGTATGATGTCCAAAGTTAGTAGGCCAATCCACAGAGACAGGAAAGTGGTTTAGTGCTTTCCCAGGCAAAGAGTTTAAAGGAACTCAGGGAGTGAATACTAAAAGACACGAACTTTCCTTTTCATTAATGAAAATTCTGCAGTTGGCTGCAATGATGTCTGCACCACTATGTAAATATTTTAAACTTCCTAGTATTCCACACTTTAAATGTGTGAGTTACATGGTGTGTGAATTATTTCTCAGTGAAAGTGCTACTCTGCCCATCCCCAAAAACAGAAGACAAAAAGTGACTGGCACACAGACAGTAACCTATTTATAATATCCCAAGTCCCTTTCCATCTCACAGATGCCTTTTGAAAGGGTTGACAAGCCCTGAGTTCTCAGCTTTCCAGGTTCAAGTCTTCATAGTCTGTTCCTCAGAACGTTATGTGCTCTCCAAAAAAAGACACGGAGCCTTCATTTAAGCCAGAAGTGCTTACCAGAATGACACTCTTAGTGGAATAATTGTTTTCTAGAAAATCTGGGAGTATGAGATAAAAGCCCAGTTTCTACCCACTGGATCCCTTTTCCACGTCTCTAGAGATGGCTTTTATTTATTTGTGTCTATGTTGAATCTGTATAACAAATTGCAAAAGAATCTGCTGAAAAAAGCTAGTGTGAAAGAAGTCCTTCCCGCTGTCTAATTTAGGTTTCTTGTAGTAACTGAAGCCTGCTTCCCACCGCCTGTCTGAATTCTAGCATCTACTGAGGCTTGGATGCCTGGAGTCAAATGGAATAAGTGCCTCTTTGGAGAACAGCTTCTGGAGGCCACTGCATATTTGTCACATGTCACTGAGATCTGCATATGGATGTGAAATGTATATTTAAAAATGTGCACACACTTGGCTGCACGCGCATCCTGCTCCGAATGTATTTATCTAATCGCCCATCACAGACCCACCCTGGGGGTTGGGGAACTGGAGGCTGGCTGACCCATTCACCTTTGCCTGTCAGCTCATAGCCTCCCCGGTCCATTCAGTGTCCCCTGACCACCTCGGCTCCTTTCTCTGCCCCCCTGAGAGGTAGGGGCTTGAAGTTTCTGCTTTGTGGCTGGTTACCCAGCTCCAAAGATGGATTTGTTACCTTGATAGAAAAGAAACAGGCAGCTACACTCCCACAGTAGCCAGCATGAGGGGAACAGAGAGTGAGCATTGGATTTGGAGTCAGCGGATTTCTTTTTTAATACTGGCTGTGTCGCTTTGCATTGACATTGGGTATATCATGTGGCCTCTCTTGGTCTCAGTATCCTGAAAAATAAGGACAAGGACCTAGGTTTCTTAATATACTAAAATTTGGAGCACTTCTTATTTTTATACTTGAAGGTAGTGAAAGTGGAAAATTCAAGGTACTGGAATATTCTGAATTATCTTCCCCTATGACGGGGGACTTAACATCTAGGACTACTGTACGTAAACTAGGGTATTAGTTTTCCATCATCATAACAAAGACCTGGAGTAGTTAACCTCTAAAGAGAGGATTCATCCTGGCTCACAGTTTTGGAGATTCCAGTCCATGATGGATTGGCCCTGTTGGTTTGAGTCCGTGATGAGGCAGCTCATCGTGGTGGGGTGTGTGGCAGAAATCAAAAACACTGCTTCATGGTCACGGAGAAGAAGAGAAGGAGAGGAAGTAGTCAGGGTTCCATAATACCCTCTCCCCATAGCGAGCTAAAGACCTCCCACTAAGCCTTACTTCTTAAAGATTCTACCACCTTCTGAATAGCTCCTCCCTGGACATCATATAGTCAATTAACACATGGGTCTTTTGGGGAAAATTCAGGACCCAAAACATAATACCAGTCCTACACCAAACCCCGCAGTCCTTACCAATGGCAGTTTTAAACTTGAACCCAGCTCTTTGACGCTCTTCCCGTGGAGGAAGTCTTTATCTCCTTCATTTCATATGGGTAGGCTGTGACTGCTTCTTTTCATTGATGATGAAAGGAGAACTGCTGTAACATCTGAGGGTGGCCTCTTGGGAACCTTGTTTCCCTGGAAGTGTGCTTCTCAGAACACACCTCCTATACAGTAAAAAGCCCAAATCACATGGCAAAGCCATGCCAACCCAAGATATGCAAATGAAGAGTCCCACTAGGAATGAATTCCTCCAGCTGTTCAGTTCTCAGACATCTGACTTATTCCTAACTGTTCCAGTCTTCGCCATTGATAACCCAGACACTGTAGAGCACAGTATTATCTCTGCTGAATTCTTTCTTAATTTCTTATGCTCAAAACGTCTGAGTAGTGCTATGTTGTTTTTTAATGTTTGCTATTATTGACTGAATGTTTATGTTCTTCCAAATTTATATGTTGAATCCCTAAACCCCAATGTTATGGTATTTGGCGATGAGGTCTTTGGGAGGAATCACATTTACATGAAGTCATGAGGATAAGACCTCTATGATGGAATTAGTCCCCTTAGAAGAAGAGGAGGAGACATCAGAATACAGTCGCTCCACACACATACACTGAGGGAAAGACATATGAGCTCAAAGCAAGAAGGCAGCTAGCTATCTGCAGGGCAGGAAGAGAGGCCTCACTACTGGTACTTTGATGTCAAACTTTCACCCTCCAGAACAGTGAGAAAATAAACAGCTATTGTTTATGGCACTCAGTCTTAGGTATTTTATTATAGCAGCCCAAGTTGACTAACACATCTTTGCAGTAGTAGAAAACTAGAAGACAGACTGAACCCTGGTGTTTTCCGCCAAGTGCCTAGGTCACAATAGGGGTATCTACACGATGTGAACTTTATACTGCAAATATATTTCCAGGATGGAAATCCATTTCTGTCTCATACTTATTGGTGAATGAGAGTTATGTTTGCTTTCTTCACAAGAGGCCACTATGAGATATCTTTTCCATGGCAAGAGTTGGATGGAGTAAGAGTGTGTACGCGTGTGTATCTGACAGGGTAGTGTGAAGATAATTTCGGGAGCAAAAGCACAGAGTTCCTCTGGGAATGCTCAAGCCTGCACTCTCTTGTTTTCTCCAGCCTTTCTGTGTGAACAGCTCAGCATTGTTTATCCCCAGACAGCCTCCTTCCTCTTGCCCTGCACCAATTCAAAGCTATTATCCAAGGACAGTGGGGGCCTATGGTCCTTTTTATTCAGCAACAGCAAGGTGAAGCTGACAAAATGGGTATTTGTATCATGCTCTGGCCTTCCAGAGACATCATACTCATTAATGAATTAATTCTTCCTAACAACAGTCCTTTCACTAGAGTGGCATTGCAATGCATGCTCATCAGACAAAGGCACTGAGGTAAAAGCTAAGGCTGCTGTTGATATGAAAAGCTCCCAGTTCTGGCCATTGAGGACTCACTTATTTCAGGAACAGTTGAGGCCACAGGACACCAAATACAGAAATTGGGGCTAGGAGTTTAGAGTCCAGAAGTGAGTAAATCCTCTGGTTATTCCTTGAACATATAACTTTGCTACATTGCATCTCTCTTTTCTAATCTGCAAAATGATAGATAAAGTAATCCTGCCAGAATATAGACTTTTGAGGAAGATCAGGTAGCATATGGAGATACCTTGTAACTTGCAACACGTCACACATGGTCGATGTTATTGTTTCTGGGTCTATATGAAGATTCCACGATTAGCTGTATTTGCAGAGAGAATTACCAGTTGCATCAGGGGTGAAGATCAGAAGACAGAGTGAGGACTCGTAAATCTCCTGGCTCAGGATGGTGATTAAAAAAAATACGAGACAAAAGCAAGCACCCACAGATTCTTCCACCCCACCATTCATACCCTCACCATACACTCCTAGGTCCATGTCATCCACCTGTTTCCCAGTACCCTAAAGCCATTCATTTTCACGTGCTTGCTCTCATGAATGATAGGTGTGTTCAGGATTCATTTATTCATTCACTCATTTAATTGTATTTATGTATTGAGAAAGCATTGTATTGTTCTTCTAAGTGTGACAATTATTGTCAATGATGGGTGATTAAAAAGATAACACTTCTGAGACACATTCTGCCTAGCCCTGCTATGCCTAAACTTGGTTTTAGGATATTGACAATAGTACTTTCCATGACTGGTGGCTCAGTCATCAGTCATAACTTCCAATTCCAAGATCCAGCCTTTACATAAGAAGCTATTTATGGTCTCTTTAGATCACTTTGTGATATAATGTTTTTATATTTGGTAAAACACATGCATGTAAAATGTACCTCATTAACTATTTTAAATGTACAGTACAGTGCCATTAAATACACTCAACATGTTTTGCAAACATCAACACTATTCATCTGTGGAACCTTTTTATCTTGAAAAACTGTAACTCTGTACCTACTAAATAATAACTCTTAACTTGCCCTTCCAAGCCCCTCATCACCACCATTCTACTTTCTAACTCCATAATTTTGATTGCTCTAAGTGCCTCATGTTTAAGTGGATCATGTATTTGTCTTTTTGCAATTGGCTTATTTCACTTACTATCATATCTTGAAGGTGAATCCATGTTGTAGCTTGTGCCAGAATTTCCTTCCTTTTATGGCTGAATAATACTCCATTTCATGGATATACCATATTTTGCTTATTTATTTATCTGCCCACAAGCACTTGGATTGCTTTCACATTTTTGTGAATATTTCTGCTATGAACACGAGTGTGCCCAGGACCACTTTTAACTTAGCATGAATGGCTCAATCTGATGAAAATTCGCTGACAGCCAACCACCATACTTTTCCACAATGCACCGCTATCTTTGTGTAATATTCAGACAACCGTGTATGTACTTGAAATTGACTGATCGCATTTGGTACAAAAGGAGAAAGCCAAAATAGCCAGGAACCCAGCTCAAATACTATTTCTTCAACTTGGGGAACTTACTTAACTTCTTTGAGCCTTAGTTTCATCAATTGCAAAATAGGGATCGTGCTTTCTGTGTGAATGACTTGTTGTTTGTCCATGGCATGTGCAGTCCAATGATAGAATGAATGGCAGTTTCATCCCTCCAGGGCTTGGCACATATTACATGCTCATTAAATGTTCAAATTAATGATTGCTGTTTTCTTTGCTGAAATCTGTAAACAGCAGCCATTATTTTTTTTTTTCCAATTTTGAATCTCTTGCCCTCAGATTAGTTGTTCTGTATTCTCCACTCAGGGTTGCCCTACCACATCAACCATATTGATTACATATATGCATATGCATGTATCCCTGTGATATTGCATGGTTCAAGAGTATGGTTGTATTCCTCTTGTAGTGGAGAAAGTCTCTTAGGAAAATAGAGGCAAAAGAGGTAGAGTCATAACCAGACTCAGGGAAAATCAAGAACCAGAGAGAACCACAAGGACCTGGCTCATTGTGGCCTAAGCAACCACTTCTCAAACTTCAGTGTACATAAGAACTACTAGGGAGCCTGTTAAATGCAGGCTCTGACCTTGTAGATCTGAGCTAAAGCCTGAAAGTCTGCATTTCTAGTGAGTCTCTTGTGATATTCCTTGTAGTCCATGAGCCACAGCAGCAAATGTCTTTCTCCTCTAGGTTCATTGGAGAGGATGGTCACAAGGAGATGCCTGGGTCTTGTGCCATGTCTGTAAAATCAGACTCGCTGGGGCCAAGACCCAGAATCTGCAGGTGGCATGTGATTCTGACATCCCCTGGAACCTTAGAACCTCTGATCTGTGCACTGAGGAGAGAAATTCTGGACTTCCTATCCTGGTATTCTTGTACTTCCCCTGAGCAGATCCCAATGGGATGTTTTGGTGCCAGGAGGTCAGCCTTTGTTTACACATTTGATGAGAACCTCAACCTTTTAAGTCAATTATTCAAACTTTACCAGGAACATCCTTTGCTTCAAGGTCTGAAGCACATTTGGATAAGACAGTCAGACATTTGTGAAAATTGAGTTTTGTGGATCGATGGCCAGGGCTGAGGCGTTAGCTCAGCTATGATTACTCATCTAGCCTTTGCCCTTTCTGCAGAGGTGTCTAAGAAGTGAATAAATTAATACCTGTGGAGACTGACAAGGACTTGCAGAACCACAATTTTTTCTCATTTAGAACGTGAAGAGCAGAACCTGGCCTGGGAGGTCCTACCTGGCTCTTGAATCTCTGTCTGTCCTCAAGTAAGAGCAAAATCTCCTCACTGCAGGATGTGTTCTAGCCTGAAATGAAAAGTGACAGGATAGATTCAGCCACAGGTCCAGTTCTGACCATCTGGCCCATCTTTAACTGGTCCAAGGCAGGTATAAGAAGATTGTTAACGGACTCCATCCAGGTCTGTGTCTTGCACATGCCTCACTTTCTGCACTGTTTAAGTCCCACCTCTTTCTCTGAGTTCTGCTCCTATCTTCTCTCCTTTGACCAACAGAGGGTTTGAGATGCTCCTCTTCTCTGGACTTGACTGTCTTCCACTTGGCATACATCAGAACATGACTTGGTAGCATTTCTTGATAGCTTGTCCTCTGTCAGCACACAACCCTTGTGGACACACTTTCATCTTAATACCTAAAATGGAATCATTTTCTCAAAATCTGGAAAGCTTCAGGAAGGCCTAAGACACTGGAATAATTATGAAACTCATTGTTTCCTAGGTATGGATGAAAAATTTGGTCCAAGAGAGCCAGCTCAGTTGAGCATTCCTAGGAGAACAGGAAGGATGGAACACTTTTCTCCCTCCCATTATCTTTATCACCTTTTTCTGATAGCAAGCATATCTTGATCAGCTGGTAAATTCTGAAGGGAAATCATCTCTACTATCATCAAGGACAATGGACTACTTTGTGACTTTTGAGTGTCCTTATGACATTCATTAAGTCACAGTACCCTTTATACTTTGTGTGTGGTACGTGAAGAGGATTTTCCACCAACAAAACAGAGGTAACCATGGGCAGAGCAAATACTCTGGACACAAAATCAGAGAAGGCCCAGCAGGGAAGATAGACAACAGGTTAGCAAAGGGAGAGTCCAGACAGAAGAGAAGGGAAGCTTTAGTTTTATGTTTTTATTACAGCTTCTTAATTTTACTGCAGTGACCTTGGTATATGGATACCTATTATTTTGACACCTGTTAATCCTTGGTATTTCTGACTCATGGAGGAAACACGTGGAAATTGGCCTGGATTTTAGGCAGACATATTAACCTTGTTAGATGGCTGGACCTGGAAGACCTGGGGCTCAAGCATCTTCACCCAGCTCTTCATAGTTCTGTACATGAGCTGAAAATGGAAACAAAAAGACCTCTTTCACCAGGCTCTGTTAAAGTCTTTCTCTTGCGTTAAGCTGGCCACCCATTTTGGTGCTGTATAGGAAGGAACATGATCAGGAAAAATAAGAAAGTAATATATTGCTAAGGTACTATCTTGAAGATCCAAATAAACTGTGTGCCTTGTCTTGCTGGAGGAATTGTGTGTGGTTCTTCCTTCTCATGGCCAGCATCAATAATTCAGATGAATATCAAAATCTGACAGGCTCTGCATATTAACAAGGTGAAAGAGGAAGACAAAATATTGTAAATGTGTGGGTTCTTACCAGATGACTGTCTAAAAGACCAGGAAGTGCAGAGGCGGGAGAGAAATGGGCAAAAGATATTAACTAGAACATTATTGACTCATGGCCATCCAGCTTTAGCAGGAGGTCCTGATTAGTCCTGCTGTCTGCCTCATGCCACCTGCAACTCAGGCATCCCTTCTGTTTGTAAGCCAAAAGTTGTTTATGCACACTTGGGTGTATTTCTCAGCATTTTGCCTTTCCGTCTATTTATATTCCAATCCCTTATTGTCTGATTTGTTTCTGCAAATACGTTTTTCCCACAAGACAAAGAAAGAGGAAGGAGATGTCAGTTCTATGACAATTGTTTAATATGAAATTCTTATTGGAGCCCTGGGATACACAGAGCTGGATATTCCTGAAGCAGAAAGTTTGGAATGCTGGTAGAGAGTGATTACTCACTATTTGCCGGGATCTCCTGCCTCCTCCATGCCTTGGGAAACACGTAGGAAGACAAAGCAGAAATGCCACTTTTGTGCATTTACTGAGTGAAGTTTTGAGGTCTAGTATTTATCATCATCTCCAGGTTTCCTCTTAATGTATTCCACTCATCTCCCCTTTTATCCAATCGCCACTTCTTATGCAGAATGTGCTTCTGAAAACATAAATCAGATTGTGTCACTCTCCTGTTTAAAATCCTCTCAGAGTTTCCTGTTGCATTTTGGGTAAAATTCAGACTTACTTATGGGAGCCTGCATGCCCCAACATGATCTAGCCCCAACTCCTTCTCGAAGCTCATCTTTTCTTCTACCTGCATGAACAATGCTCCAGCTACATTGACTTTATTTCTCTTCCTAGATCTCTCAAAGGTTGTTCTGCCTGTTTACATTTTGCAGTTGTTGCTTTTTCTGTTCTTACCACCCAAGGTAGTCCATGGCTGGCTGACACTCAGCATTTTGGCCTCCACTCTAGTTTTCCCACGCTAGTCCATAATAGCCCCTTCCTTTCCTCCTCGTCACACTCTTCCTTATTATCTATCATATGTTGTGTTTATTTTCTTCAGTGAAAAGATCTCTCTCTGAATTTCTGCGTGTCATTTGCTCATTTGCCTTTTAATCTTTGGTCATCCATCATTAGACGGTAAACTCCATAAGACCAAGGGCCACTCCAGTACCATATATAATGCATGGCACATAGTTGATGCTCAATAAAGAACTCTTGGGTGAAAGAATGAATGAACCAGAAATGAAAAGATTCTCTGTCCACTGTCTCTGCCTTGGGCCCTTCAAAATTCACCCTATCTTTAACCATAGCTTTGACTCTAACCCTAACCCTTGTTCTATCACCATCTAATATTTGATGTTGTTTGGGAAATGGCCAAAGAGCCTGTTGGAGGAGGATCATAGGTACCTCGAGGTGAGAGCGTAGTGGCAAATCTGTACTGGGGCCATGCTGCTTGTGTTCCAAGCCTGGGTCTGCCCATTCTTAAGGGTGACCTATTACTAGACTCAAAGTAAATACACAGAGTGTTTACTACCTGTGTTATGATCATAGTCGTTCTGTGGCTCACCTTACTCACAGCTGAATCTTCTGAGGGATCCTTAAAGACAATAGTAGCACACAAGTCTCTCTGGAACCCCCAGCCTCTTTCTCAAGGCCTGGGGGAGCTTTTAGGAGTTTCTCTGTTTCATGTGACTTTGGAAGACAGTGGTAATACGCAGCCTGTTGTGTACAAAGGAACATAAACTTTAAAAACAGAGAAGGAAATGACTGTTTTAGTGAACAGAGTTGTGGAGAAAGCCACCCACTAAATCATTCCTGCACCAAAAAAAGAACTGCAGGAGAAATGAGAATGAATGACGATGGGGTGGTAAAGATGTTGGGAATCAGAGCTGGTAATGATGCACAAAGCCCTATGTTATTTCTAGTATTAAGGAATGTGTGATTATATTATTCTTCTCATAAAGAGTCTCAATTCATTTTTTGTGGTCACTTCTTATTCATACCCCGTGCAGCTCATGTTCTCTGTGCTTGCATCCTGCCTGGTGTAGACCAAGCCTAACAGCTGGAATAAGGGGCTGCAAGCCTGTAGTCAGACAAAGGGAATCCCAGAAAAATTCTTGGGAACCATTTACTTAAATATGTTCATTGACAGGTGGGACAAGTAAGGCCATGGTAGAAAGGGATCTTACATATCTATTAATTCAGTAGTGATTTATTGAGCAAGTTTGCATTACAAGGCCCCAAGCTGGGAGAGAAAATTGAGAGGGTCCTCTCTTACAATTAGCTCTTGTAAAAGACTATTTAATGGAGATAATATGCAAAGAGCTCCAGCCTCAGAATTATATGTTTTGAGTTCCAATCTAAACTCTACCATTTTATATCTATCTGGGGTAATTTACTGAGCCTCAGGTTTTTCATGTGTAAAATGTGGAAGATGGTGTCTGGACTGTGAATCTACCAAGAATTTATGAGCATACATATAATCACAACACATGCTGATGCTTGATGGCCTATAAAGCAATTTGTAGATGATGCTTTTGTTACTGGGAGGATGATAATTTGCAAGCAGGGAATTGCAGCCACTGGAATAATATAATGGAAAAATGAAAGGGCTGCTTGTGAAGATGGAATGCAGATTGTACGTTGGAGCTGGAGCAGAGAACAAAATGGGACCACCAGACCTTTGTTCGGAGAGGTGGCTGTATTATTGTTTTTTCTATCACTGTAACAAAATATATAAGATAAACAATTTAAAAGGATAAGGGATTTATTTTGGCTCTCAGTTTCAGAGGTTTCAGTCGATAGTCACTTGACCCCATTGTTTTGAGAGTATTTCAAGGCAGAGAATCATGGTGGAGCAAAGATGCTCATGTCATGTTAGCCAGGAACAAAAGAGAGAAAGGGGTGAGAGAGAAGGAGGAAGAGGTCAGTATCCCAATATACCATCTTTCAAGGACATGTCTCGATGACCTACTTCCTCCAACTAGGACCCACTTTAAGTTTCTACCATCTCTCAACAGTTCCACCAGATGAGGACCAACGTTTCAACACAAAAGTCATTAAGAGACATTCTAGAGCTCAACTACAGCAGCAGTCCTTGGCACTGTCTGGAATAAATGAGAATGGATTTTCTGCTATGAGGAATGATCCGATCTATGACAATTACCATTCAGTGGTATCTAACCTGGTAGTTGGCTGAAATATGGAAGGTAAAGAGACCATGCCTGACCATCCAGGATCTCAGAGTCGTGCAAGAGTTGGAGAATCATAAATAAAAAGTGCTGTGCTGTGACTTTATAAGGAATCTGGATGAAGGGATCCAAGCCCAGCCTGTTGGAAATGGACTGGAAACTCCACAGAAGAAATGATGACTGAGCTGGATTTTGAAAGTTGTGGAGGGCTCAACCACTGGGTAGGGCAGTCAAGGGTGGGAGAACACGACAGAGATGGCATGTTATAGTTTACATCTGGATGTCCCCCTAAAGCCTCATGTTCTAAGAGGCTTAGGCCTTGTGGATATAATTGAATTACTGGAGGCACTCTCACTGGCTTGGTGTTGAGAGGTGGGTCTTGTTGAGAGAGGTAGTTTATTGGGGAGAGTGATCCGGAAGTATGTGTCTCCTTCATTGACCTTGCCCTCTCTGTATCCTGTCCATCACAAGGTGAGCAGCTTTCTTCTACTCAGCCCTTCCATCATGCCGAGGACCATGCAAAGACTCAAGCTTCTGAAACATGAGCCAAAATAATCCTTCCCTCCTTTAAATTACAGGTGTCATGTATTTTGTCCCAGTGATGAATACAGGGACTAAGACACAGCATATTCATTTCTCATTTGTGAAACAAAATACTTGATGCTGTATAACCTTATAAATAAAAAGGTTACTGAGATCACAGTTCTGGAGGTTCAAGGGCATGGCTCCAGCATTAGCTCAGTTCTAGCAAGGACCTCAGGGCAGATGGTGTCACAATGATAGGAGCATGTGTACAGAGACAACACAAAAGTTGTCACTAGACAGGAAGCCAAGAAACTGGGGAACTGCCACATTTCTTCTTTGGTAACAGTCCTCTCAAGAAAACCAACTCGGGGATCCCAGAAGTAACTCCCTTATTCTCTGCTAAGCACTCACTCCAGGCTCCCCACGAGGTCCCACTTTTTGAAAGCTCCACACAACCTCCCAGCATCACCCCACTGGCGACCAAGCTTCCAACTCATGAGCCCTTGGAGGATGAGCAACATCCGAACCATAGCAGACAGTGATGG